TTGATTATGTCTGGAAAATGAGTTGTAGACGTGACGGTAAATTAATTTAATGAAAATAAAATTATACTTTAATGTCAGATTGTAATACTGTTAAAAATATAAATACATATAGTTGTTTTGAAAACTTGGGGGCAATTTTGGCCCCCGGAACATGGCTTTTGGGGGCATTCTTGGATAAATTGCGGGCCAAATGGCCCGTGGCCCTTGCTAATTTCTGACACTGACAGAACACGTCTGTACTGACTGCATGTTTCCCATTACATAGCTACAAAGAAGGATTAGTTATAAAAGTTTTAAGTTAAGATTTAAAACAGCACCTGTGCCAAAAATTTAGCACATAAAATTTACATACAAATACACATGTTGAAAGACAAAGTATACAAATATAATGCAGGTCTGACGTCCGGTTGCAACGGTACACAGGTTCTAAGGTATACCTTGATATCACAATTGACGGTTATAATACTGTGTGCATTTTCATACACAATAGCCCCTCTGTTTTCACTCCTTTAACGGTCATTTTGACTAATAATGATAATAATAATAATTCTGTAATAATGTGAAACTGCAGTATTTCTGAGTCGGTTATCGTACTGTGAAGATCTCATACTGGTGCAACCCCAGTCTCAACACAGCCCTCGTGTCTGTTTCCAGCTGCTGCAGGAACACCTGACAACTGAACACTGTGTTGAGCAGTGATGTCTGCAAAGGTCCATGAGCTCATCAACATCAGGACATTGTGGTGCATTTCTCTCATGCCCCAGGACTGTCCCATGCCCTGAAGGTTGCACCAAAGCCCCCTCAGTGTGTGACACCCACCTTGGCGCTGTGAGCAGACACTGTGGTTGTGACGTAGGGAGTCCTGTGTTTCTGCAGGAGGTCGATGTAGCCCTCTGCTCCATCACCTCCTCGGACATGAAGCAGGCTGAGCAGCTCGTTGACATCATGGTGGATCCTGAACTCACTCATGGCTCAGGCAGCTGAGATGACGACACACTTTAATAAAGGAGGGGAGACAGAACAGCTGCTGAGATCAACGTCACTGTTGTAACGGCTCCTGATGACGCACAACAGCCTGAGCTGAGCTGAGCTGAGCTGATGCAGGAAGTTATGTCCAACAAGCGGAGCTCATAGTGATGCTGAGCTAACAGTCATTTGATGCTACATGCTAGTTTGCTAACTGGCTCCGGCTGAAATGAACTATGAAGATGCTAACTGCTTAGCTAGCTCATCTCGACTGAAACACGTCATTAATGACACAGTTATAATCATGTAACTACGTAATAATAACCCTTATTACAGGTGTGACCGGAGTCTGTACCGAGCACTCTACCTGTCGGTCGCCTCTGGGTGAAAACTGCAGCAAACACCGTCGCAGGTACAAACGCGCCCACCACTGGTCAAATTCTTCTTCTACTGTTTTATAAAGACACACAGTCCCGCCGCCACACCGCCCCCACAGGTTGAATATGGCACTACAACTTCAGTCACTGGCACAATTTAATCACTTGTGTAACTTAACTACAGCTGCAGCGATTAATCGATTAATCAATGATCTATTGGGCAAATAGTTATGATGAGTAAATATACAATAATAAACTGCCAAAAGATGAGATAATTACAGGTTCTCAGATGTGAGGATTTATTTTCCTAACAACATCTTTATTGATTTTAGCTACAACAAACAAACATAAACAAACATAAACAGCATGTGTATATATGTGTACACAAACTCACTAAAAAGCACACATGACACATGAAAAAAACGTCTGTGCGACCACAAAGATTGAACACACATGTAATGCCCCACACCCCCAGACCAGAAGTCTTAAAATGAATGAAGAAATAAAGTATATAAATACAGGTAAAGCATCATGGGAGGGTTGAGGTAACTTCAGTTTCAGTACATCTCATATTGATGTACAAAGTTGACAATAATTATAAAACAAACTGACAGATTTGAACCCTGTCAAAATTAATCTCCAGCCTAACAGTGCTTCCATCATGCAGGTGAAGTCTGTCCTGTCAGATGTCACATGAAGGAATCCCAGATGTTGTGAAACAGTGATTCCCCCTGAAAGCATAAATTTTTTTCCCAGGGCAGAGTTGTAGATAATTGTGAGGATTTACTTCTTTCCCTGGTTTTACAGACACATTTAATAGTTTTGGGTTTGGAAATGTTGGTTGGACAAAACAAGACATTTGATTTTCACTGTTTTCTGACATGATATTTTGAAGACCTGAGAATTAACTGAGACAACAATGTACAGGTTGAATGGTGATCAACATAAACATGTTGCAGCCCTAAATGTTACTGCAGATTTTAATAACATTTTAAAGCTAATGATGTCAAACTGAACCAGATTTCCAATTGTTGGCTACTTTTTACATGTCCAAGCTAATATTGTACTTTTTACTCCGTTAGGCTGAAGTCATTTGATAAACAGAGTCAGAATACCTAATACAAAATCTAATCAACTAATAAAACAGTATGTGACTTTATTGATCCCTGTGGGAAGTCATCAGCTACCCAGCAGTATGTGAAGTCATTAAAATCACCCCCACTTAAAGCAGCTGCAACATTAAAGTGATGAACACATTAATGCACTAATAATTATATTACAGTGATACTTTTTTTTATTGAAATGGAGGATTCTGCAAAATTAGTACATTGTGGTACTTTTTGTAGTTTATTTTAGTTTAAGATATAAGTACTTCTTCCACCTCTGGTGAGGTCACACACACAACCAGTTTTTATTATATTATATCATATTATATGACATGACACGACATGACACAACATGACATGACATGACATTACATTACATTACATGATATTATATATTATACTACAAATCCCAAATACAGAGTACAAATCTGTGTTCCAAAACTGTTTTCCTCCTTTTTTGGTGGGTTAGAGAGAAATAAATTTGGTCTGTTGCTCGGATAAAACATTTGAAGACATCACCTTGGGCTTTGGGAAATTACAGAGGGTATTAACTCACATTTTATTGACAAACGATCATTCGATTAATGGTGAATTATAGGCAGGTTGATCAATAATGAAAATAACTGTTAGTGGCAGCACTAGTGCTTCAAAGAATTAATGCTTTGAGAACCAGTTGGGTCATTTACATGTGACATAATGTGTTGATTTGATTTGTTTTTTATTTGATAAGTTTATTTCGAATATATGCAAATAATATAAAACCAAGAAAAGCGAGTATAACAGAAGCAAACTAATGAACAGGAAAATAAATAAATGAAAGAGGGAGAGAGAAAAAATGCACATATTTGAAAAGGAGTGAGAAGAAGTAAAACTTAAATACTCTCACCCCTTATCCATGAATTATAGAATATAATATTCCCTGTCGATCACAGATGAAGTTATATATCTATACAAAATGACTTTTTAATGTATTATTATTAAATAGCTTCATGAATCTCGCAATATATTTGTGACAAATACATTTCTATACATCTCCACTAATATTCTAATATAGTAATCATTAATAATATAATGATAATGATTAGTAATTAATATTGATGTGTTGCCGTGTTAGGGGAGAGAAACTGGCACATTAACCTTTTATTAATTAACTTATTTAATATTTATACACGCTAAAGTTCATCTGACCGAGTCTGACCGTGTCTGCTTTTATTTTGAAAAGCGACGACACAGCGGAAGTAAACAGTAATCACGTTACAACCCGGAAGTGTTGCCTTTCTCTGATTAACGTTTGAATAGACAAGAATGAGCAATTTGTGTGTTGAAGGAGCGATTAAAGGCGCTGCTGCGAACACCGTGCAGCCTCCAGCAGTCACGGTAGTGTGCTAATCTCCGGCCCCGGAGCCAGAGGCGGTCGACTGGGAGCAGCAACGCCCTGATGCCCGCCGCCACCCCGACGGAGAAAAACATCTTCGCTGTGTTTACAAGTCGGCTGGGAGTGATTGTTTCCCCGCAGTGTGTCGTTAGCTAATCGTGCAGCGGTTGTGTGTGTTTTTCAGACGAAGAAATAACATGGCTGAACTGCATGTTGTGGAGCCGAGCGGCACTGGCACCATAGAGCAGCCCGAGCACCGCGACGTCCGCGGCTCCGTGCGCCTGGCGTCGCCCACTCTCATGGTGCCGCCGCGGAGCAGCCAGCTCAGCCCCGGCGGGGTGTCGAGTGGCAGCGGCGGCGGCGCGCGCTCGGTGTTCGGGTTCCCGGTGAAGAGCAACCCGAGCTCCCCGTCCGAACCGGGGGACAAGCCGGGCTCACGCTGGGTCCGTCTGAACGTCGGCGGGACCTACTTCATCACGACCAAACAGACGCTGTGTCGGGACCCGAAGTCGTTCCTGTTCCGACTGTGTCAAGAAGACCCGGACCTGGACTCCGACAAAGTCAGCGCGCGCGCGCACACACACACACACACACACACACACACACACACACACCTCAATGTATGTCTGGATGTTCCTGCATGATGTTAATGGTCATGCATGTTTACAGGCCGGGCAGTGCAGGAATGTGACTAAGTACATTTACTCGAGTACAAATTTGAGGTATCTGTACTCTGAGTCTTTATACTTCAGCTCACTACATGTCAGAGGGAAATATTGTACTTCACTACAGTAATGTGACAGTTTCAGTTATTTTACAAATCAACATTTAAGAAACAAAATGTTCTCACTGGTTTCTGACTTCTTACAAACCAAACAATCAAAAAATGGAGAAACTAATCAGCAGATTAATTATTAGATTAAAAAAGTTCCACCTCAGCCAGCTACAACAGTCAAATTCTGCTTTTTCAATAATGCACGAGTCATAATTATCTAATCATACATGTTAAACTTCAGTTTCATTAGCTTAACTCACTGAAATCAACGGCCTGTATTTGGGACAGGCCGTTGATTCTCTTCACACAAAGCTGTCGCTCAGCAGAGATCAGGACATACACTCAGATTGTTTATATAAACCAGTTTGAATATTACTTGTATAAAAATGTGGCTTCAGATTATCAGTCATGATTCATTTGATCCGTCGGAGAGTGTGTGAGTTACGGCACCATGTACACCGACACAACACCACTTTATAAAACAATCCTCACAGCTTGGATTCATTTGTATGAAAAACTCCTTTGATTCTTTTGATGTGAGGACGCTGATGGACTACAGGAATATGACTAACTCCATTGAGGAACTGTATATCCATAAGCAAGGGATGGACACATAATTTAAGGGAGCCAACAACTCGCTTTATTTACCTTTGAAGAACTTCTTGAACTGCTTGGCACCAGACCAGGCCTCTAACTGAGACAGGCCTCTAATTGAGACAGGCCTCTAATTGAGACAGGCCTCTAATTGAGACAGGCCTTTAATTGCCTAATGTGCAGCCACACTGCAGTAAAATGTGTCCAGAGGACTGAAAAAGCAATTGATTATATTATTCTAACAGGCTGCCTTAAGTTTAATTTGTATTTGTCATAGTAATTATTTATATAACCTCCTAAGACCCAACCTTTTGTTTGGTTCGCAATTTTAATTTCTCCCAGCTATGTGGGACCAGCAGGACCTGATCAGTATAAAAACTAGACATTGTCAATGATAATAAATTCCCAGTGTCCTCAAATGAGACGATAATAAAGTCCCAATGTCAATGGCTAATTAAGTGTTGCAGCTTGTTATTGTTGCTAGAATTGGTCAAATTTGTTGCCATATCAAACTAGAGACGTTATTATTCATAAAGTTTCAACCATAACATGTGATCAGGTTTTGGCAGAGATGGCTGCCATCTTGTTTTTGCTTGTTGTGTGATTATTAGCGACTCAGATTACTCTTAGATTCGACAAAGAGAGGCACAAAATGCTCACAGTTGGGAAGCTGGAAACAAGGTAATATTTTGCATTGATGCTGAACAATGACTTGAAGGATTGCCAAGATAGTCTTAACACCGAGCTGTTCCTATGTGTAAAAAAAAAAACAGAAGAAGCATTTTGATAAGTAATTTGTCAGATTTTATTTGCAGCAAATGTCAACACTGAGATCATATCATCAAGATATGACTCTGCTGATAAAGATATTGATCCATCACTCATTGTTCAGTTGTGTAGATCCTTAATGTGTCCATCAAGTCAACTTAAACATCTTGTCAGCTTTTCTCTGACGCAGTTTCCTGTTTCTTATTCAAATATCTATGATAAGTTAAAACTCGCTGATGATGTTGGTTTTGAGTTTTGATAGTGATTAATGCGTTCTATGATTTCTTTCTGGACGTTACCCGTCTCAACGTTTTGCTTCCAGTCTCTGCAAAAGTGACCACGATCCAACAGTGATGACAAACCAGATCCTCCTCTCACATATTAACCCTTTATTTGTCCCCACAGGACGAGACAGGAGCCTACCTGATCGACAGGGACCCCACATACTTCGGCCCCATCCTGAACTACCTTCGGCACGGAAAACTCATCATGGATAAAAACCTGGCAGAGGAAGGTAAAATGTTTTCATCCCTGCTGCTGGACTTGTTCAAACTGTCTGTGAAGATTAATTTAAAGCATTCAGACACTGAACAAGGTGGTGCTGTGTGAGGGACTTACCCACAGTCAGTGTGTTACATACAGTAGATAACCCTTTTTAAACAGGAGTTGTGCAAATTTGCAGGAAAACCCAGTCAGTCTTTTTTCAGCATTGGCAGTATAAAAACAAAATCTGGGAGTGCAGCAAAATGCCGCCTACCTACTTTTGTTTATACAGAATGTGCCTTTTTCTGGGCAATGGGGGGCGTGAGCAAGTAACAAAACGTGTAGCTCAGCGTGTGACGTAAACAGTGACGTGGGAGGGAAGCCGCGGCTGGTCAGTCCTTCGGCGATTCTCTCGTAAGTCGGCCCGTTCTTCACCGTCCCCGTCATCTGACGGTTAATGGCCTCTTCGTTTGCGAGGACAAGGAGGGCGCACAATTCCTTGTCTCCCCAGTTGCTCATCTTTACAGTGTCTGTCAGGTTTGTGTTTCCCTCTTGCTACTAGCTGCTCACTAATTCCTGCTATCAGCTGTTTCCTGTTTATCCACCACCAGTGGCTCGCACGTGCGGCGTCATCAACAGCTCCTCCCACAAGTCATCAACAGCCCCTCCCACAAGTCATCAACAGCCCCTCCCACAAGTCTTCAACAGGCCACCTCGGTCTGTTTAAACTAAAAGGGTTCCACCAATATGTCTACCCTATGAGGCGGAAAATTGGGCACCTCGGATCAACTCGCCAATCCGGCTCTGTGTGTCTAAACGCTCGCAGCTTGCCGGCAAAACTGCCCAACATTCGCTGAAAATCTGGCAGTGTAAAAGAGGCTAATGTCGGTCGGCACGTCCCTAGTTTGGAGAAGCAGCAATCATATCGCTGTGGAAGTTCAGGACGGGGACAGCAGCTAAACGTATTTTAGACACCTAAATAAATTAATATCAGTTTAAAGATATACTCTGCAAGATTTTCCCTAAAAACCAAAATGTAGACTCAACTGTAATCCTTCTCAGTCATCACTTATGACCCTCTCTCTGTGTTTGGTGGTGTATTTATCTGCAGAGTCTCTTATTTTTTCTTATTTCCTTTTTATTCTCTGTGTTTGGGCCACTGATGTGCATGTACCCCGCAGTGCTCAGGTGACACGGAGCATTTAATAAAAAAAAAAAAAAAAATACATCCCTTTTATTTTCACTGTACAACCTCAAACCAGTGGTGGCATGACGCACATCAGTGCTCCTGGACACACCGCCGTGTGCCACTCTACACCACTGTCCTGTTTCCAGCCTCGCCTCCCCCGGCTCGCTCTGCTCGTACAGACCAGCTAGGGCTGGGCGGTATGGCCTAAAACAATATCATGGTATTATTTCAGGGGGGATGCGGTGACGGTATGATATTGCGGTATTGTCTTCTCTCTTCTTTTTACACCTTAAATAAAACAATTTAAAAAGCCATACAAGTCTAGGACGGAAACTATTTATCGTCAGAAGTAAAACAGTTGCTAATCCATCTAATATTGTGTATAAAACGTTATACAGTATGTATAAATGTTAGAGGGAAGAGGGAGGGCCCCCTTCTCCCGCCGGCCTGGGTTTGGGGCAGTTGGCCAGGCCACCTCCATCACGTAGCGAGGGAGGTGCATGAAGCAGGCAGGCAGGCGGGCCCCGTTCTGCCGCCGTAGCCAGAGTACTGTGGTATGAAGGTAACCACAAAAGCAGTACCGCGGCTCATGTTTACTGCGGAAAGTTACTGTCACGGCGAATACCACCCAGCCCTAATACCAGCTCCCATATCAGCTCTTTTCCTCTGCTTCTATGGCAGCTCGACTCCTCTCCCTGCTATAGTTGTATAGATGAGGAGAGACTTGTTGAGGTCGAGAAACATCCTGAGCTAAATGACCCACAATCCCGTCATTATAAAGACAATGGCCCAAAAGATATTGCCATAATCAAGTTAATTTATGGGCTCTGCACACATGATTTCAGTAAAAGTAGTAATAACATTGTGTGGTCGTCTGTTGACGAGCTGCAGCGTGACGTGTCCAGCATGTGCTAGGGCGCCACTTGACCCACGGCTGCGGCGCCAGTGTGTTTTCAGCTGAAGGCCGTTATCTGTGCTGAAGCCACCAGACTCCTTTGGCAAAAACATTCATTTTAGCTCACTGAACATCAGAGCTGCTGATCTGCTGCTGCCTCCATCACTCAGTTTGTGTGTTACTGTGTGACTCTGGTGAATCTGAACCAACCCTTTAAACACCAAAGTCACACAATGACACAAACAAATCAGCGACTGAGGCAGCAGTAGACCAGCAGCTCCTGTGTTCAGCTGTGTTAAATTACTGTTTTTCTCAGTGGAGTCTGGCTTTGCAGAGAGCGATATAACAGCTTCAGTCCCCCATCAGAAGGGGCTGTCTGACAGCAAGGTAGAGCAGTGAAAATATTCTAAATATAGCATATACTTAAACTGATATAGATTTTTTTAAGTGGCTAAAATACATTTTGCTGCTGCCACCATCCACAGCAGTGCAGCTCTCCGAACTGTGGGCGAGCCAACAGACGTCTGCTGTAGGGAGCACACTGACTGTGGATAAGCACCTCATACCAACCAAACTGTCCCTTTAATTCAGAGCATATAGAGAACAAACAATAAAGTCTAATGACCCATTTATTGTGTCAGGCGTTCTCGAGGAAGCTGAGTTCTACAACATCGCGTCTCTGGTGAGGCTGGTGAAGGAGAGGATACGGGACAACGAGAACCGAACATCTCAGGTACAGAAAGCAGAGACGGATAAATCTGTGCACCAGACTGTCTCCCAGGACAAAAACAACCAAAATAGCTTTTTATTTGTGTGCAGATTATTGATGTTGTTGTGTGTGTGGTTTGATCACGTCCCACAGGGTCCTGTGAAGCACGTGTATCGAGTACTACAGTGCCAAGAGGAGGAACTCACACAGATGGTCTCAACCATGTCGGATGGTTGGAAGTTTGAGCAGGTGCAACAAAACGCAGCTTTTGTTTCTCCTCTTGTCAAGTTTGAGTTCATGATTCAGTTGTTTTTAAAGCTGCAAAGACATAAAACAAACTATTTTAATATTTCCTGCCTTTTTGTCTCATCAGCTTATCAGTATCGGCTCCTCTTATAACTATGGCAATGAGGACCAGGCAGAGTTTCTATGTGTAGTTTCCCGGGAACTCAACAACTCCACCAACGGCATCGTCATCGAGCCCACTGAGAAGGCCAAGGTGAGATGTCTGCTGAATAAAGCTCAGTTCAGACCAAAGATTCACGACGAGACGAGTTGAAACAGGCCGCTACTTGCAATGTGCTGCTCAGCAACGTTCTAAAAACCTGTCGGTTCACACCAAGTCAGGTCTGAACTGGACTCAAGAGTCTGTATTTTTCTTCCATGAAAAGACCAAACAGCAATTTTATGCTTTTAACAAACATCTCATTGATACAAACCCTGATATAACTCTGTGTCTAACAGCTCCCAAAGACAGTGTTGGACAGCCAACAATAAAAGACACGCAGCAAACACGCCAACTGCAAGAGCTCTTTATCAGTCATCTGTATGTTTAATTTCAAACAGTTAAAATTCCTTTTTAAGATGTTTGTTTGTTAGTTTTTCCGATGTTCACTAAAAAATATGCAACTTATCTGTGCAATAAAAATATTTACCATTAGTGCCATTTTTAGAGTTTTAAGTATGTTTTGATAATTATCAGGAAATCGTGAATCGTAATTATTTTGGCAGGATCATTGTGACATGACATTTTCCTATCGTGCCATACCTAGCCTCAACTCCTCAGACCTTTAAAATAACTACATCGAACAATGTGAGAAGACAAAAAGATCTTCTCAAAGAAAGAAAACTTCTAAAGTTTAGCACCAAATACGTATTAATCCACTACTAAATATAGTCCCCAAATAAATGCACTACTTCCTCCTGTATGTGTGACGGGAGCTACAGCGACCCGCAGATTGAGGATTGATTACTGAGACATTTTTCCCTTTGATTTAATGAAAGTATATTTTTTTTTGCTGCTGAAGGGTCGACTTGGCCGCGTGTTCTGGATCATTGCAGTGTTGGCAAGTCCAAGTGCGTCACGTGTGCAGCGTCCAGACATCCCACAGTGTTTTCTGATAACATGCTGCATTTACTCAGGCATTAATGTAGACTTGATTTCTACTGTAGCTCACGCCCCTCCATACATCAGAGATGCACCTCCATGCTCAACAGTAGGGCTGGTGTAGTTTTCATCACAGGCCTTGTCGACTCCTCTCCGAATGCAGCATTTGTGGTCGTGAACAAAAAGTTCAGTTTTGGTGTTAGGGTTAGGGTTAGGTTGTTCTGATTCTTGTCTCGCTGCTGTTTTGCGTATCGTTAGTGGGCTGCATGACGTCATATTATCAAAGAACGTCCTGTGTACATGTATGAGCACAGCTGTATGATCATCTGCCTACAGTGATCAGTGTGACAGATGTGAGCAGTGTAAGAGTTTTTCTTTTTATAATAATTCAAATTTCTATTGATTTTGAATGGATTGGAACACGACAGGTGGCAACAATGAAAACAAAATGGCTGCAGAATAAAGGAGAACTGAACAACACAAGTCATAACCCCCCAAAAATAAATTAATAATTTAAAATAGAATTTGAAAATAGATAAATAAAAAATAAGCAGAGCATCAAAGAACAAGCGTCACATTTCAGGGTTTTCCTACAGCGTAATATAATTCCAAAATTCCCCTGGACTTTTCTCTTGGCGTGGTCCCTGTCAGTCGTCCTGGTCAGCATAAATCCACATGAGGAGTTTGTCGTCATATAATTGACCAGGTCTTTTATTTCTGGGCGTTGAGTTGATTTCCAGCACCTGAGTGTTGTTGCAGCAGCTGTCGTGACCCCGGCCGCAACAACTGAGAATTCTTGCCTTGACATGTTGCCTTCTTGTGATCTGTCTCCTAGTAAACACATTCTTGGACACACTGGCAGCCACCTACTCATGTGTGGAAGAGTTTGACTCCAAAGGAGTTGAATAAGCAGCCAGTCCCAAACACTATTTCTTTTTGGCATTTCCAACCTGAGTTATTGGTTAATAAATCCATCCTGTGTGGTCTGACTGGTGTCCAGTAGTCCCTGTTTATTACCTCATACTGAGGGAATTTGCTTTTGGATTTTCACAGGGAGAACATGCAGACTCCACACAGGAGCCTTCACAAATCAGGGAAAGCAGAAATGAGTTTGCTGCAGATTGAAGGAGTGTTTCTGTGTTAACCTCTGACTTCTCTCTGTCTGTCCTCACAGATCCTTCAGGAGCGAGGCTCGCGGATGTGAAGAGACCCAGATCCTGAGCTAAATAACACTTTATCAACAAAAACAAAACAATAACATGAACATTTTTCCAGTTTTCATCAAGATCCATGAGTTTCCCCCCCCCCCCCCCGCCTTTCTACCATCACCGCCTTCATCATTGCCATCAACCTCCCGTCCCTCCTCCTCTGGTGTGCCTTTCCACAGCGGGGGCTACCTGACGCCCTCCTCTCCTCCAGTGCTGCAACACGACCCCGGCTTGTCTCCTCCTCCTCCTCCTCCTCCTCCTCTTCCTCCTTCATCGCCGGCTGTGGAACACCTCAGTTTAAAAGGGATTACAAGTGAGTGGTTTTTCCTCATAGCAGCTTTTTTTTTTGATGGTCAGTGTCGCTGCGGTGCTGATTGTAGCCCCTGGTTACTGTCAGTGGACGGACGCTCAACACAGAGCTACTTTAAATCATCATCTTCATCGTTCTCATCATCACCACTATCAGCAGACGGGAATACTTCGTCTCTCTTGTACATGTGGCTCTGTCGATTTAGCAGAAATCTCCTCAGGACTCTCAAAGGACATAAAGGAACACACCTCCACTGACTGAGCCTCTTTACCTGAATCTGTTCACGAAGCGAACGCCCGCCGCCTCCTTCCTCCGCAGACTTCCTCTGGACTTCATCGGGTGGTGTCTGTGGCGACACAGCAAACTGAGAGTGGAGGCTGAGGCGGAGCAGTTGCATGACGCAGAGTCCGATGGCTCTGTTTGAGCCACGCTGGTGCAGCGTTTCCTCCGCTCTCTCTCTTGAGTCTTCAGAAACACCTGAACAGAGTGACACACTGTCATCTCACAGGCGTCCTGTCTTGGGTCGGCACTGCTGGAACATCATGGCATCCTCCTGTTTCCTGTTCCGGGGCTCCATTTGGTCTGAGAAAAATTTAAGGCAAAAGAAAACAAACAGATGACTCAAAGAAAACAAAACACAAAGACTACACCTGTGTACAATTTGTCAAGGCATGTGAGGAATCTATATAAATCTATATAGGCTACATGATGAAATTATATGAAATGCAAATGGTGTAATTACTGATTTCTGTATCATAGTTGTCATATATTTACATATTCTTGGTGGGTGAGTATTTAAATGATGGAGAAAATATCATTTTTCATATAAGCAGTTTTCCTGAAGGTTTCCCGCCCAGTAACATGGATGTGAGTATGTGTCTGCAGTGCCTCTCTGCTTTCTGTCCATGACTGAAATATCACACAGTTTTTCAGCTGCACGTTTTCTGAACTTATCCTCAAACAAAAAAAACCCTCCAGATATTGTCAATACGTTTTCTCTTAGATATCCTACTTTGATCTCTTGCATATCTTAAAATTGTAATTAAGGATAAGGAAAACTGTCGTCTGTCCAGACAGCTGTGGTGTTGCGTGGCGGGAATCGGACTGTGGCCAGTTTGTATGCTGCCTCAAACCCTTGAAGCACCCCTCTCCTCGTGGCCTCGTGCTACTCTCATGCCAATATTCACACACCTTGCAGCTGCCTCTGTTGCCCGTCCTCATCTTAACGCCCAACGACTGTGTTGTCTCACATCCTGCAGCACTTGTAGCAACTGTGGCGCAAGCTGAATCGTGCTCCTCGCGCTTAAAGCCCCGAGACACCTGAGCCGACATTATCGCAGAGATTTACAGAGTGTAAGTGAACGTGCCACATGGGAAGTGTCCTCAGTTTCCTGAGCTTCAGAGCGAAGCTTTTATTTCAGATGTTATGTGACGTTGTTTTTCTGTGCCAGCAGATCGATACCAACGTGGCTGAAGTTTATTTCTCTTGACTTGACATTAAGTTGCTGCGTGATGCTGCTGTTTTTTAACACAGTTCACTCCAAAAACAAAAGTACACATTTCTCCTCTCACCTGTAGAGCTGTTTATCAGTCTTCATAGTTTTGGTGTGAGCTGCAGAGTGTTGGAGATATCAGCCGTACAGATGTCTGCCTTCTCTCCAGTGTAATGGAACAACATGTCACTCAGCTTGTGGAGCTCAAAGTGCCAAAACAATACATTTGAAAAACTCAACATCAATGTCTCTTTGCAGAAATCATGACCTGGTTTCTCAAGATAATCACAGACCTTGACAGATGAGAGGGAAAGTATTTAAATTTCATTTTGGGGGGCACCCTGTCCTTTCAGACTTGTAACTTGGAGCAACATAAGCAACAATCAGTGCACACAGCTCTGATACGTAATACGTAAAACTGAATTGGCTTCTACTTCAAATGTGCATTTTTCCAAAACTGCATGGCTGCAATTTATTGAGCTGAAGTCAGTAACAGATTAGGTGATTGACAGAGAACGAATCTGTGACTGTAACTACAGTAACTTTCTCTTCTCTGTTCCATATCATTGTAAAAATTTAATATTTTGGGGGTTTGAATCTGATAAAATAAGATGTTTGAAGAGGATTCCTGTGACTCTATAGGAAAATGTGAATTTTCCACTATTTTCAGGTATTTTTGGACTAAAGGAAATCAGTAAATTATCAGTCACCAAACTGTGCGGCTGCAGCGAAGGATTGTTTTCATTAATTTCTGATTCTTTTTGTTTTTATTTAGTCCATCATTGAGTGAACAAATTGTCAGAAAATGTGGAAAATGCCAGTTGCTAGATCCCACAGTGAAGTCCTCCAAAGTCTTATTTTCTTCAACCAACAAAGACTCAAAAATATGGGGTGCCCAGTAGCGCACCTGGTACAATGGGTTCCCCATGTACAAAGGCTGCGTCCTTGCTGCATGCTCTCCCCACTCTCTCACTGTGACACTATATCTGTCCTATCCAATAGAGGCACAGAAGCCCCAAAAAACACCTTTAAACAAAAAAGATTAAAAAATATTTAAAACACAATTATGTGAAACAGAGAAAAAGATCTATTCTTTACATTTAAGACACTAAAATCAGGGAATTTTGCCATTTTTCGGTTAATTGATTGCAAATTTCTGTCAATCAGCTAATCAATTAATTGATCATTTCACCTCTACCCCTACAAAGAAACAAATCCACAGCTGTGGATGTAGTGTTGTTACTGGTGTCACATGAGCAACTTAATGCAGAGTCTGAGCCATTGACACATATCAGATGGAGAGTTAAACGCCTCGTTGTCGACTGAACTCATATTTTAAATCACCGTCCCTGAAATCTAAAAGGAGTGTCGGATCTTTAATCGCTGCCATTGATCACGTTGACACACCCTCCTTTGTATAAAGAACATATTTGATGCAGTTTCGTTATATCAAGCATGAACAAAAAGAATGCCAGAAAAAAAAAAAAAGAACTGTACCGTTAGCGGTCGTCCTGCTCCCTGATGTGCAGTCAGGCCTCAGAGCTCAAACTTTGATGTGACTTCTTCTTTGTTGTTTATTTTGTTTCTCCTCTCGCGTGTGTCGTGCAGTTTTGATTCTGCTGAGTCGTGAGCAGAACGCGTGCTGCTGAAAAAGCCCATCGAGGAGCACTGTTTCCTCCCATGTTTCTCTGGGCCTTTGCAAAGCACCTTGGGTGTTGTTTCCCCTTCGTCTGTGTCTAGTGTTGTGCCTTTTGACCTGTGTTGTGCACAGTTGTTCTCCCCTCTTATCATGAGGTGCTCTCATACCTTAAAAAAAGCCCAGAGGCACCCACCTGAGGTAAAATGGTCTTTAGCTTGTTTTCTATTGTTAGTGTTTCAGTGAGAGGCAAGCCAAACGAACCCACCGTCCCTGCATTATCTTTTATGATACCTTCAGAACGACGACCAGCTGCTTTCTTTGTGCCATCGCTTCTGAGCTAAATCCACCCACAATCCCTCATCGCTCCTGGAGGGTCAAAATTGTGTCTGAATCTGCTGCAGGGAGCGATCGACAGCAGGAAGCAGATTTCCCTCCTCTGCTTTTATCTTAGTAAAACTCCAGCAGTGCACTTGTTATCAGAAATCAATTTGACTTTAAACTCGACGCCAGTTGGCTTCTTCTTTTCTCTTGAGTTGCATGCTGAAGCCTTCTCTAATGACCCCCATTCTTCAGTGTGTGTAAAGCACTTACTGTCACCTTTGTGGACCCACTTTGATCTTCCCTTGGTTGCACAATTCAGTGGTTCCCAAACAGAGAATGAGTCAAGACCCCAGAAAAGATCACCAGACGGTTAAAGAGATAGGGAAGCAAAAACATATTAGGAAAGAAACACTGTGCTTGTGTACGGCCTGAAGGTCTCTGCACACTGAGCATTAATCCCTCAGCCAAAAAAAATCGTCATGCACAGAAACGTTGCACGCTGAGTCTGATGTGCCTGAAGACCTTTGCCTCTCTCCACTGGAGTCACCTGTCTGCCTCTCATCACTCCCTCCCTGTTTTTAACTTAGCACCGCAGCTGCTTGAAGGGGAGGAGCCTCTCTGTCGGTCCACGTCCTCTTCATCCACCTGAATATCACTATCTGAGTTGTGAAATAATTCTGTGCGCCCTGTTCCTCTGTCTCGTCGCAGCTGTGTCCCGCCACCACATTTTCTTCACTGATTCTTGGTCACACGTCTCTAAAGACTCTGACCGAGGCGAAAACTACAGAAACTCGAACTTGTTCTGAAAAATTTTAATGATGGACAAAAGTTTCAGACTCAGTGTGCGAACGTGATTAACACAACGTGAAGTCGCATTTACTTTGATATGTGTGACAATTTTGGACATGTATGTTACCATGACGATATAGCCGGGTTTTAAGAGAGCCACCTTTATAACATGGAAAACTCTGGCGATGAAATCTGGCTCTGTGGTGCAGCCCTCATGTCCTCCAAAAACAACCCCCCCTTCAAGGAATAATAACGGACCCAGTGTGCACAGGCCTTACAGAGCTGCTAGCATGTCTGTAGACTCTTTACGTTGTTTCCTGTGAATTACCAAATAGTTTTACCTCTCCAGGAAGCGAATAAATTATTCAAATAAAGGGAAAAAAATATTTTTTTTGTTGAACTGCCAAAACCGGTACAGGTTTTGGCAGGGTCACAAACAGTAATAGTGCCGAGCTTTTAAGCCGATTGACATAGTGGCTAAACAGTGTAACTACAGCTTGTTTGCCATCGGATCAAAGATGCTTCTTCCCATAGTATTCCATAGTTAAAGAGACGCATGTAAAGATTGTCGCAACCCCTGGGAAATGACTCGTTCTGCTATCACGACTTCATGTGTTTTGTCAGATAACATTTCATACGTCTAGAAGATTCAAGTCAGCGCACAGCGAAACTGGAAGTTAGATGCTCTGTTGCGCCTGCTCTGTGTGATCCACCATGTGGAAGATCCGGGTGAATTTATGACCGCGTGGTTGAACTTTTCTTTGGCTTCATGTGCCACTGAGCAAGTTTTACAAGTGTGACGCTGCATCATGTTCTTCTTCAGTTTGGGAACCACTGACGCTGCTGAACTTTGCAGTGTGATTATCTGAACATTTTGACTCAAGCACTCGTTTGTTTTAAACCAAACAAAAAAAGAACTTTTGATCAGTTGTTTCTTTCACCTGCACTCGTTAGTCTCCAGATTATGTGCAATTTAACAAACCTGCAAAAAAT